AATAATCAACAAGGGATAATATGTGGTAAACAAAGTAAACTTACTATTTTATTCTTATCTTTTAAGTTAAAAATAAATAAAACTCTACTGGAAATAAAAAATTCTTTTGTATGCAAACTTACTTACTTACTTGCATTTATATTTGCTAATACAAGCACACAACATCACAGTAATCACAAACGAACAACTGGGATGTTAGTGGAATAAATAGACAAAAGCTAAAAGAAAAACGCAGAGAAAAAACTAAAATAAATAATTTAAAAAATAAATAATTAATTAAAATAATTTAAATAAAAAGAAGTGACTTCTGTCTACCTATATTATCCATTTATTTTATTGAAATCTATTATGTTGAGAAATATGAATAATATAAATAATAAGATCGTTAAAGTGAGCTGTTGAAGTAATATTTGCGGATTTTACAGATTATTTGTTTTGCATCTCGTTAATTCTAAGGTTAATTCAATTATCTCATATATGTGATAAAGGTAGCCATTATCTGTTTGTGTTTGTGTCTATTATATAATAATAGTCAATAATTTTTCTATTATTTTTTTTATTATAAAAAATGTATATTTTTTATTACTTTATACACAAAATGTATACAAAAATAAGTAGTTCTGACAGCAAGGTTTTAAGTTTATTCCACAATGAAATTTGGTATACCATACTTTTCGGGTAAACTAATATCTAACCAATAAATTCAATTTAAAATTAAAATTAAATTAAATAAATGAAATTAATTAAAGTTGCTTAAGTAAATTAAGTAAATTATAACAAGTAATTTAAATTTAAATTCATCGGAATCTGAAGTAGATAGATAGATGGTAATATTTTCTTAAAAATTTTATTTGCTTTGAAGAAAGCAATTTTAAGTCCGATGAACACTGAAGTGGCACAATCTATATGAAAGGCATAAATAACAAGAGTTCATGAGGGCAGTTTAAAATAATATTTCGAACTGCCATAGAAATCGATTGTTAAAATAACAGAAAAATTAATTGTATTCACTTAAATTCAATTATTTACTGCTATTAATTTCATCAGGGTAATGAAAGTATAGTATTCAGTTAAAATATGGGCTGTCATATATATTTTCGTGTGCTTCATATTGGGTCTGTGCGGTCTATCCTGACGGTATTGACTTATGCTATAAAATATCTGTTCCGATATCTGTTCGTAGATCAAAGATCATTAGAAATCTGGTTATAAGCTACCAGAATGTCTGAAACTTGATTTGACTTTGTCGCTAAAACGGTTAACCCGCTGTTTAAAGAAATTTGGAATTCTGAAAACTTGCTGCAATAATTGGAAAATAATTAAATAAATAAAATAATTGGATCAGTACAAAGCTACAAAAGCAAGAAAACCTTGCTGAAAATGATAACTTTGAAAAAAAACTTTGTATCAGTCAAATTTCCAAATTAATTATTTTAAATCATAATGCAGAGTCATTGACTGTTTGCTGTTTATAATACTAACACGTTTGATAAAATAATTGACTACAACATCTTCTATATGCGACACTTACAGATATACATCATTGCACAACTTTATGGTATCTCCTCGTGTGCTGAAATCAAAATAATTGCTATCTCCAACTTCAGCAAGTAGGTAGGGCACTCGTACGAGCATATTGCGTTAATTAGAAATATATAGTAAAAATTGAATTTTTTTTTTGCTCTACACTTTTTTTATGTTTGCAATAAGCCATTTTTTTATATACGTTATCAGAAATGAGAAGAAATCACTTACTTACTATATGAATATAGTAAGTAATTCTTCAAATATGGATGTTTATTCAAAATCGACACTTTCAAGTCTGATAACTGAAGAATATGCCTAACATATAGCATTAAGGTTGTCAAGTTATCAAATCAATATTACCATTGGAGTAAAGAAATACGGATGGATATAATAGACTAACATCTTAAAAATATGTAATGCCGTACCGCATATGGTCCTAACACGAAATCCGGATGGCATTAGATGGTTAGATGGAGATTGACAAATAGCTCAATGAACTGAGACACGACCTGTGTATAGAAATTACTGGATATACCATAGTTTGTAGAAACCATAAACTACCCAAAACTGGTATGCTTTTAAGAGTACACGGACTTTTAATGTAGTTACAATAGGGTAATCTCTTCTTGGTAGAACAAAGGGTTAATATGTATGTTTGAAGGTTTAATATGCATGCTAAGCTTCTCAAAACAGCTGTTTCGGATACTTTCGTGTACTTGCGTAGGTGTTGAAAAGGTGTTTATTTAATATAGTTTCTTATAAAATATGCGATTATGAGATATTAACAAGAAACCTGAAGTGATTGTCTTTTATGTGTGATTAAAAAATGAAACAAAAAGTATGTGCCTATATTTTGTTTTAAATAGTTGATAGGTTTTTGTAACTCAGATTACTAAAATGTTAAAGTTTTTCTAGGATTGGTTGCCAGCATCGATTTGTAATTAACCTAGTTGTAAACATATTAAACTTTCACAATGTATAAGAAAAATTATTTTATGTCTATAATCCACAGTTGCTTTATCTCGTCAATAATAATGGCCAACTGCCGACTGTAGTATAATTTGGCTTTCCTAAGTGGGTTAAAATATTTAATTTAGCGCAGCAAAAGTAAAAACTTTATAATATTTGCCTAAGATTATTGTTAATTTTTTGTCAGTGTTCATTCGGTGTTGTAGCATTATCTGCAGTAGTTGTTGGCTGTCGCGAAGGCATATTTCCATTTAACAAAACTAAGTAAGACAAAGTAATTACTTCAAAAATATTAGGAATAAATAAAATTTGATATAGATATAAATTCTCAAAATTAAGTGCAATTAATTTGGTTTTATCTTTTATTAACTTAAATCATTTTTTTAGGTTACCCCAGACGGTTTAGCTGACAAGAGCGGCATACGTTTGGGTGACATTATTCTTGAAATAAACGAAGAAGACGCCACACAATTAACGCTTGCCCAGGCACACGAAAAAATTGACGCCGCAGGCAAAAAAATACATTTTCTAGTGAAAAGGTAAAATAATATTAAAATTATTAAAGATATTTTCCATTCTTATTTCTTAAAAAAACTTAATTACTTACTTTTTACATTTGCAAATATTATCAAAAAAAAAAACAGCATGGATGATGACGATAACTTGAATGGCAATGAACCTGGCGAAGAAAAATCTATTGTTTTGCGTGTACCGAAACCGCCACCGCCACCAAAAGGTTGGTCTTAAATATTTTTTCATAAATGTCAACTTATTTTTTTCCATGTAAATGAGTTCTACTTTTTGTTCCACTCATAACCATTGTCTTGCTTGCTAATTATTGTTATTTATTGCTAATTTTTGTTTAAAGAAATCGCATTAAAAAGTTATTAACATGTTTTTTTAATTTATTTCATATTTTTTAGAATTCACCCCAACTCCCTTGCTTGGTTCTAGTTGTTGGCATCCAGTTATGTGGAAAGATCCACCTAAACCACCACAACCCAAAAAAAAGAAAACTAAAACCATAACCGATGAGGAAGGCAATGAAGTTGTAATCGAATTGAGTGAAGATGAATCTTCTGATGAGGAAGAGGAGGTGCATATACTTAAAATATTAGACAATACAAGTATCACAAAGCGGAAGCCACATACATAAATAGGAATTATAAAATAATTCTTATTTTACTACAGTTTCTGCATTAAAATTCGCAAAAATCTTTTGTGTACTTGAATATAAGAGCCTTAGATATACTAAGACTTCCTCTTCTATGTGCTGCTGTTTTGTGGTACTTGCACAATGCCAACAACAAAACCATTTAACATTTTTGACTTGCAAATAACAAATTTCTTTTATGTTTTCTAATTTTTATCCTTTTACGAAATTTGTGAAAAATAATTAAATGCTAAGCAGAAAGAGTTGCCACACTATCGTATTATACGCAACATAAGACGTTTCTTTACGGAAGTGGGTGAAAATCAAGAACTTAAGAATCGCGTTATTGAAGACATGCTACTGGCTCTTCCAAGTGCTTCTAAGATGCAAAAAAATTAAAAGCAGCAAAGTTTTGCGTTATAAAATAAACTCTAATTATTAACAAATTAAATGTAAAAAAAATACTAAATACAAAAAAAAAAATTATGTATACGTGATTTGTAAATATGTGTAATGTACTGAAAATTAAATAAATATTTAATAATAAATAAATTAAGCTATTGTACTTAATAATTTAATTGAAATAAATAATATATTAACAATAATGTAAATAATTTTAAATTGGCGAATTTATTTTCAATTTTCAAAATTTAACCACAGCAGCTTCAATAGAGGCGCGTTTACGTGCTATGCAACGGAAACTCTCCGAAATTGCAGAAATACCAAAAATATTGTCATCAACATTGGCAACAGTATCGCAGACATTTGATAAATTGATGCCAAACGAGCAACAACAGCACCAGCAACACCAACAACTCCAACAACAGCACGACCAACAGCAAAAGCAACCAAATTTTCCAGTTAACATAACACAACAAAGAAAATATTCCTACGACGAGGATGCAATTGATTATGAATTGAGTGATGATGATAACGATGAAGACGCCGACGCTGACACCGATGATGACTATGACGACCGCAGCCATACGCAGGGCAATGGAAAATATGTCAAAGTTATGAAATTGCGTCAGCACCTGAAAAAAATTAAACGCACAAATTTAAAAGAAGCCACCCCGGAATCTGATTATGCCTCGGAAGCTAATACATACGAAGAAAATGACAGAGACGATGATAACGATACACTCGATGATAATGATGAAAATGAAGACAATGATACCAATGAATATAATTGCACGTTGCGGCTGGAGGCTATAGACGATAATGAAAGTGATTACACGTCTGAGCAGGAAGACAACGATGATAAGCCTGGCCAATTCAATGACAGCAGCGAATGTGAGTTAGAAGATTATGATGAAAACGACAGTGACAATGAGAATGACGATGTAGATGAGGATGATGACAACGATGACGCTAACAATGTCGATGAAAGTGATAGTAATTGTTATGGTGACAATGAAGCAAATGATGATGAGGATTTCTATAACACCACATTCACTTGGAATATGAAAAAAATACCAAAATTACATTTAAACGATGAAGACAAAGTAAAGCATAGAAAATTAGAGCACGAAGATGTTGACTTGTTTAAAGGCGTAAATGCAGAAAAGAAGGACGATCAGCAGATTGTTGTGACAACAATAACCAATGGAGAAAATATACTTAAACAGGAAAAGCAAGACAAGGCAGTACGTAATGCATACCATATTTTAAATTTTTTTATTCAATTAACTACTTTAAACTTTTACTATATATATCAATTAGCCATTGGATAAATTCGAACGTTCTTGGCCGTGGGCTGATCGTGAGAAAATCATCTATAAGTATTATGATTTTTTTTTGTGCTATTTATATAAAATAATTTATTGTAAATATTTCCTTATCAGGCAATCAACTTGTCATCTTGTACCACAAAAGCCATTGGGACTTATCGAGAAACGTATACAATTGTTAGCTCAACGAAATTTGTTAGATAATCTGGAGAAACTACATAAACAACAGAAATAAGCCATAATAAGAGTCCTCAATTCATTATCAAAAAACTGCCTATATTGTATAAATAATCATAACATATTATATAACTTTATATTTTTTACTTAATAAAATTAAATTCCTTTAGTTTGAAAAACATCTTCAAAATTATGTACAAAAAGGAGTTGAGTTACTCTTAAAAACCCAATAAAATTCTCTTAAAAAATCATGGACGCTCTCATAAACAGACATCTGACATAGATTATAGTTCATAAACTATAAACTAGCAACATGATTGTTACTATTGCATATAAAGTACGGTAATTTAAACGGACAGTTTTTTTAACCTAATATCGACCTGATACCTAACTCTGTTCTTAAAGGGTCATAAAAATTTTATTAAATTGATGATGGCTGGGAATCATCTTATGACGTCACTGCATCATTGACGATTATTGTGACATTTATTTTAGTTCTATAGGAGCATAGTAGTTAAAAATGCCATAATGTACCTTAGAGAGATGTTGAATATTTGCGCTATAAGTGGATAGGCAGTTGATAAGCGCCGAAGTTTGAGTGTAGCGAGACTATCACAGTAACACAGAATGTGTTGTGCTGTTTTCTTTTCTTCGTGACAAAGTCTGCAGCTATCGTCTCTTATGATATCTAAATTCGATAGATGTTTCTTACCTACGCAATGACCTGTGACAAGCCGAATGCCTTTTCTGTTCATCATTAGCAGCTCCCTCGTTCTGGCTTTTGGGTAATTTAATATGAATTCTTTAGCTTTTTCACAGGCAAATATGTTATCTCAATCGGTCTCAGTTGCTTTTTCCAGCCATCATTAATTTTAAGTTTAAAGAAGCTCCATGAAAGACCGCAGATGGGCCTAATAAAGCATGAAGCCACCTCTTTTCCGGCTAGTTTTTGATTTTCATATTTCCTTCAAATTTACTGTGTCCTGGGTTTCATATTAAGTGAACCTGGTTTCCTTTAGCAAAATCTTTTTGAAGTTGGAGGCATTCCCACACTAGTTTTGAATTTACTTACCTATGGAATGCGATCATATACAACCATCTCTATTAGACTTGAAGTGGAGATTTGCTCGTCGCTAGTTTTCATTTTGCATACGAAGTATGTTTACATATTTGAACGGACAGTCCTCTATATCCAATATCGATATATACAGTTAGTCTGTTTTACTAAAATACTGATGGTACTATAAATAGATATCGCATCTAAGAGTGGAACATTGCTAGTCTCTAGTTTTTTATTTATATACAAAGTACGTTGACTGCTCGTTTAGCAATTAAATGAGCTGGCACTGTATATATTTTTATAGAATTTCAGAGCAATACGAAACATTTTGAAATTAAAATCTGTTGTCTTTTTTGGTCATAACTGTGAGAGTTAAAATATATTTCATTGCGGCTGTAAGCTCACAATAATTGCAACATTATTTCCTTTATATTTTACGATGCTGATAAAGTTATTTAAATTTTTTATAAACATTATAATAAATTCTTTTTAATGTTTTTCAAAAGTCGTAAAAAGTCTAAAAAAGTTGATTTTATGTTGCAAATTGACTAATTTTTTCTGTTAAGTGGAACCTATGAGTAACATTGACAAACAATCTAAAATGTTCCTAAGTGAATTTTATTGTAGTCATTTGTCATATCAAAATTCAAGTTAGATACAGCTTAAAATAAAAATTTTTAACAATAAATTAAAAGAAAAATTTCTAATACAAATACAGAAAAAATTATAAAATAAAAACCAGAAAATAACATTTAATTTGTGCTTTTGAAGCTAATGTGGAGTCCATGTCAAAAAACCTTTTTAAAAATTCCACAAATGTATTCGGCGATAAATTCGAGCGTACTTTCAGCCTCAAGCACGTATTAATTTATGCGCCATTGTCCTTTGCATTTGTCTAGTACACAATGACATGGAATGAACTTAAAAATGCCAATACATCACTAAAGAAATTCATACTTGAGTTCTCATTAATTATACATTTAAATTTGCATTTAATTGAGAGATTTGTTGTGTAGCCAGTGTTTCTTTAACACTTCATCAAGTGCTGAGACAATTTATTGTAATTCTCGAATGTGACAAGGATGATTTAGGTTTTCATTAAACAAACCAAAACAGACACAATTAAGTATAATCAGGACGTTGTTGAGTGAAATGACAAGTTGTTGGTAAAAACTGGAGTTGTCTTAAATATTTTTTCATAAATGTCAACTTATTTTTTTCCATGTAAATGAGTTCTACTTTTTGTTCCACTCATAACCATTGTCTTGCTTGCTAATTATTGTTATTTATTGCTAATTTTTGTTTAAAGAAATCGCATTAAAAAGTTATTAACATGTTTTTTTAATTTATTTCATATTTTTTAGAATTCACCCCAACTCCCTTGCTTGGTTCTAGTTGTTGGCATCCAGTTATGTGGAAAGATCCACCTAAACCACCACAACCCAAAAAAAAGAAAACTAAAACCATAACCGATGAGGAAGGCAATGAAGTTGTAATCGAATTGAGTGAAGATGAATCTTCTGATGAGGAAGAGGAGGTGCATATACTTAAAATATTAGACAATACAAGTATCACAAAGCGGAAGCCACATACATAAATAGGAATTATAAAATAATTCTTATTTTACTACAGTTTCTGCGATTAAAATTCGCAAAAAGCTTTTGTGTACTTGAATATAAGAGTCTTAGATATACTAAGACTTCCTCTTCTATGTGCTGCTGTTTTGTGGTACTTGCACAATGCCAACAACAAAACCATTTAACATTTTTGACTTGCAAATAACAAATTTCTTTTATGTTTTCTAATTTTTATCCTTTTACGAAATTTGTGAAAAATAATTAAATGCTAAGCAGAAAGAGTTGCCACACTATCGTATTATACGCAACATAAGACGTTTCTTTACGGAAGTGGGTGAAAATCAAGAACTTAAGAATCGCGTTATTGAAGACATGCTACTGGCTCTTCCAAGTGCTTCTAAGATGCAAAAAAATTAAAAGCAGCAAAGTTTTGCAATATAAAATAAACTCTAATTATTAACAAATTAAATGTAAAAAAAATACTAAATACAAAAAAAAAATTATGTATACGTGATTTGTAAATATGTGTAATGTACTGAAAATTAAATAAATATTTAATAATAAATAAATTAAGCTATTGTACTTAATAATTTAATTGAAATAAATAATATATTAACAATAATGTAAATAATTTGAAATTGGCGAATTTATTTTCAATTTTCAAAATTTAACCACAGCAGCTTCAATAGAGGCGCGTCTACGTGCTATGCAACGGAAACTCTCCGAAATTGCAGAAATACCAAAAATATTGTCATCAACATTGGCAACAGTATCGCAGACATTTGATAAATTGATGCCAAACGAGCAACAACAGCACCAGCAACACCAACAACTTCAACAACAGCACGACCAACAGCAAAAGCAACCAAATTTTCCAGTTAACATAACACAACAAAGAAAATATTCCTACGACGAGGATGCAATTGATTATGAATTGAGTGATGATGATAACGATGAAGACGCCGACGCTGACACCGATGATGACTATGACGACCGCAGCCATACGCAGGGCAATGGAAAATATGTCAAAGTTGTGAAATTGCGTCAGCACCTGAAAAAAATTAAACGCACAAATTTAAAAGAAGCCACCCCGGAATCTGATTATGCCTCGGAAGCTAATACATACGAAGAAAATGACAGAGACGATGATAACGATACACTCGATGATAATGATGAAAATGAAGACAATGATACCAATGAATATAATTGCACGTTGCGGCTGGAGGCTATAGACGATAATGAAAGTGATTACACGTCTGAGCAGGAAGACAACGATGATAAGCCTGGCCAATTCAATGACAGCAGCGAATGTGAGTTAGAAGATTATGATGAAAACGACAGTGACAATGAGAATGACGATGTAGATGAGGATGATGACAACGATGACGCTAACAATGTCGATGAAAGTGATAGTAATTGTTATGGTGACAATGAAGCAAATGATGATGAGGATTTCTATAACACCACATTCACTTGGAATATGAAAAAAATACCAAAATTACATTTAAACGATGAAGACAAAGTAAAGCATAGAAAATTAGAGCACGAAGATGTTGACTTGTTTAAAGGCGTAAATGCAGAAAAGAAGGACGATCAGCAGATTGTTGTGACAACAATAACCAATGGAGAAAATATACTTAAACAGGAAAAGCAAGACAAGGCAGTACGTAATGCATACCATATTTTAAATTTTTTTATTCAATTAACTACTTTAAACTTTTACTATATATATCAATTAGCCATTGGATAAATTCGAACGTTCTTGGCCGTGGGCTGATCGTGAGAAAATCATCTATAAGTATTATGATTTTTTTTTGTGCTATTTATATAAAATAATTTATTGTAAATATTTCCTTATCAGGCAATCAACTTGTCATCTTGTACCACAAAAGCCATTGGGACTTATCGAGAAACGTATACAATTGTTAGCTCAACGAAATTTGTTAGATAATCTGGAGAAACTACATAAACAACAGAAATAAGCCATAATAAGAGTCCTCAATTCATTATCAAAAAACTGCCTATATTGTATAAATAATCATAACATATTATATAACTTTATATTTTTTACTTAATAAAATTAAATTCCTTTAGTTTGAAAAACATCTTCAAAATTATGTACAAAAAGGAGTTGAGTTACTCTTAAAAACCCAATAAAATTCTCTTAAAAAATCATGGACGCTCTCATAAACAGACATCTGACATAGATTATAGTTCATAAACTATAAACTAGCAACATGATTGTTACTATTGCATATAAAGTACGGTAATTTAAACGGACAGTTTTTTTAACCTAATATCGACCTGATACCTAACTCTGTTCTTAAAGGGTCATAAAAATTTTATTAAATTGATGATGGCTGGGAATCATCTTATGACGTCACTGCATCATTGACGATTATTGTGACATTTATTTTAGTTCTATAGGAGCATAGTAGTTAAAAATGCCATAATGTACCTTAGAGAGATGTTGAATATTTGCGCTATAAGTGGATAGGCAGTTGATAAGCGCCGAAGTTTGAGTGTAGCGAGACTATCACAGTAACACAGAATGTGTTGTGCTGTTTTCTTTTCTTCGTGACAAAGTCTGCAGCTATCGTCTCTTATGATATCTAAATTCGATAGATGTTTCTTACCTACGCAATGACCTGTGACAAGCCGAATGCCTTTTCTGTTCATCATTAGCAGCTCCCTCGTTCTGGCTTTTGGGTAATTTAATATGAATTCTTTAGCTTTTTCACAGGCAAATATGTTATCTCAATCGGTCTCAGTTGCTTTTTCCAGCCATCATTAATTTTAAGTTTAAAGAAGCTCCATGAAAGACCGCAGATGGGCCTAATAAAGCATGAAGCCACCTCTTTTCCGGCTAGTTTTTGATTTTCATATTTCCTTCAAATTTACTGTGTCCTGGGTTTCATATTAAGTGAACCTGGTTTCCTTTAGCAAAATCTTTTTGAAGTTGGAGGCATTCCCACACTAGTTTTGAATTTACTTACCTATGGAATGCGATCATATACAACCATCTCTATTAGACTTGAAGTGGAGATTTGCTCGTCGCTAGTTTTCATTTTGCATACGAAGTATGTTTACATATTTGAACGGACAGTCCTCTATATCCAATATCGATATATACAGTTAGTCTGTTTTACTAAAATACTGATGGTACTATAAATAGATATCGCATCTAAGAGTGGAACATTGCTAGTCTCTAGTTTTTTATTTATATACAAAGTACGTTGACTGCTCGTTTAGCAATTAAATGAGCTGGCACTGTATATATTTTTATAGAATTTCAGAGCAATACGAAACATTTTGAAATTAAAATCTGTTGTCTTTTTTGGTCATAACTGTGAGAGTTAAAATATATTTCATTGCGGCTGTAAGCTCACAATAATTGCAACATTATTTCCTTTATATTTTACGATGCTGATAAAGTTATTTAAATTTTTTATAAACATTATAATAAATTCTTTTTAATGTTTTTCAAAAGTCGTAAAAAGTCTAAAAAAGTTGATTTTATGTTGCAAATTGACTAATTTTTTCTGTTAAGTGGAACCTATGAGTAACATTGACAAACAATCTAAAATGTTCCTAAGTGAATTTTATTGTAGTCATTTGTCATATCAAAATTCAAGTTAGATACAGCTTAAAATAAAAATTTTTAACAATAAATTAAAAGAAAAATTTCTAATACAAATACAGAAAAAATTATAAAATAAAAACCAGAAAATAACATTTAATTTGTGCTTTTGAAGCTAATGTGGAGTCCATGTCAAAAAACCTTTTTAAAAATTCCACAAATGTATTCGGCGATAAATTCGAGCGTACTTTCAGCCTCAAGCACGTATTAATTTATGCGCCATTGTCCTTTGCATTTGTCTAGTACACAATGACATGGAATGAACTTAAAAATGCCAATACATCACTAAAGAAATTCATACTTGAGTTCTCATTAATTATACATTTAAATTTGCATTTAATTGAGAGATTTGTTGTGTAGCCAGTGTTTCTTTAACACTTCATCAAGTGCTGAGACAATTTATTGTAATTCTCGAATGTGACAAGGATGATTTAGGTTTTCATTAAACAAACCAAAACAGACACAATTAAGTATAATCAGGACGTTGTTGAGTGAAATGACAAGTTGTTGGTAAAAACTGGAGTTGTCCTACCATCTCTTGGAACTTTGTGGATGATTATGTCCAAAGTAGTGTGTTTGACTGCTGAAAGCAGTTGATTCAAATCATAATTGAAATTAATTATTTATACTTGGATTATATAAAGTGCTTTGGACCACTCGGTTTGTTGGTCTTTTATATGAATGTTTTGTTTGAGCTTTTAATACATGAAGTATCTAAAATATGTGAGAGAATTTTTGATAAGTAAAACTTATTTCTTCCATACATAATATAACTGAATAAATTATATCTTCAGAAATTAACTGTTTATAGTAAATACATATTCAAAAACACAGTATATAATTTTGTACTGTGGTTGTTTCTTTTTTAGATACTGAATATAGTGAACATCGAATATATGTTTGATATTAACAGATTATTACTAAAGATAGATACTGAATACAGAAAAGATAAACATCGGCGTAAATTGACCACAGAAAGCAAACTTGGTAGAAGGTATAGTCTATGGAGGGAAGTATGTCATAGCTTAAGATACATTTAGAATCAGTCTTTCCCTAATATATAAAGAACTCATAAATAATTGTCATATAATAATTCTTTCTTCAGCCTCTGTATGCAGTAATACTATAATATATGCGTTAATTGAATCCTATTTAAGAATTTATACAACTTCTTATATATTGTAAGTTGACAATATTTTCTTTTTCTACATTATTACAATTTTTTCAAGTTTACGGTCTTAACACAAATAAATTATGGAGCAAAGTCTTAAAATATTGTGAGTGATTGTTAATAGTAACAAAATTAAGTAATGGGGGACAGTTTTTTATTCACATTCACTTTCGTACAAAATTAATATTTTTAAGGTTGATTTGTTTTGTCGGAAATGACGAGTTTTATAACGAAAAGGAGTATAAAATAATAAAATAAAAATTCGAATATTTCTTCAGATCACTGATGATGAGTACTTGGCAATACTAGAAACAGCGTTGTGTAGTCAGCCAAATTTCAATAAATTAATTAAATGTTTGTAGTTATTTCTTCATTACTGTTTGATATTTTAAGTTTTAACTACTTATTTATTAAATTTGACATACACTATATATAAACCTCATATTATTGTTCACCTCTAGTAACAGAACCTTTAGTGTCGGATGTAAGTCTCTTGGCGAAGAGGTGAATAAACTGTTTGTGAAATGTAAGACTACTTTTACAGTAAAGGAATTTTCAATTACTGATTGAATTAAAAATTTCACCCCGATTTTCTTTTTCTCAACTAAAGTCAATATTCACAATCGAATAGAACGTGATAAGAAGACTCCTCCTTTTCCACATAAAAACGATATTTTGTGATATCATGTAGTCATATAGCACGTCTAATACGCAAGATTGTTAGAATATGACAATCAAACATAATAATATTAATTTTGTGGCAACCTTTCAAATAACCGATTTAAAATTAATTTATATTCAGGTCATCACTCTATAAGAATCACTGTTATGAAAAAGCTGAAGTTCTTGAATTCTAAATATGAAACTTCAAAACTGGGAATTTGGCATTTACTATAAATTTATTAAAATTAATATAAAGATTAGTCTATATAATATAAGAACTATAATATAATTCGTTGTTGGTACGGAATTTGAACTTTTATATATTTAAGATAAAAAGCACATAATCTGGAATATTTAATACTTTTGTAAAATACCAACTGTAAATCAATGTCATAGTTTATAAAAAAAATTTGAGAAAATAAAAAAAAAGTAAAAAAGTTTATCTCTTACATAAATTGATTTTTAATTTGATACTAAATATAATTTTAAAAATTCTATTTATCAAATATGTAAACTATTTAATAACAGTACTTTAATTTGGTGTGAAAATAGTTTATAAAAAATAATCAAAGTTATTTAATGTTTATTGAGTTTCATAAAAGATACTTAACAATAAACAAATGAACTATACGGTATAGAGTATTTCGCAATAATATATTTTACTACGAAGTTATTTTGACATTTGACTAAAGTATGCAATCGAAAGCATAGTTCCTCGCACCTCTATTACCAATATATATACATCACATACCGATTGTGGCTTGTCTTTATCATCTTCTCTGGACTGCATTAATTTTATATACAAGGAAAACGTTTCATATCTGAAACAATTCTTTAATCTGCTCGTATTGCAAAGACAATCTGCTAATGTTGTATAGCTAACATAGGTTCTATTTCCACTCAAATATATTGATTTGAAGCACTTGTTGACCTCAAGTAGGAATCTACTCGTCCAATGTCCTTTTGGCTTTGTCACTATTAGTTATTTCTTGACCACAAGGTTTTCAATACAAATGAAATATTTAACATGTTTTCAATAACCAAAGTAAATATTGATAAATTCAATTGAAGAATTTTATAAAAATATTTGTTAATACAGAAATATGTGGAAATTGTTTGAATTACTTACCATAATTCATTATTCACTATTTCATTTAATAATAAAAAACAAGTCATTTATACACAAATAATATCATTTTATTTCACACATAAAATAAATACTTTCTTTTTGAAGAATGTTCAGCAATTTAAAAAAATTTTTATACAATTTTACATTACACCTGACAACATATTTTATTTTAAATAACTTTTGAATAAAATACATTGATATTTAATATCAAATATTAATTTCATTAAATTAGAATAAAATATCTTAAATTAGAGTATATATAATTTAGGTATTATTTTGCAAGATATTTTTTGTTTTTTAATTTTTTTTTTCATATTTTTAATATCTTTAATGTTTTTCATATTTTTTTTTCAATATTATTATTTTTTATTTTTTTGTATTTTTTTTTAAATAATAGTCTATATATTATTTTATATTTTCGTATATATTTTTTGCCAATTTACCGGTTAGAGT